TAATTTTTATCCAAATATATCATGAGAGATGAGAATGATGGGGTCTACATCATTTGATTACCAGTAGTAGCTATGCTTCCATGGATAGCCTTTGGCATCATAATTATAAACTTTTTTTTGGATAAAATTGTGATATCTAAAGTGAAATAAACAACATCTTAAAATATGACGCAATAAAAATATAAACATGTTAATTGTTGGAAAAACACAAAAAAAAAAAAAAAAACTCATATAGCTCCATGGTAGTTACCCTTTAAAAGTGACTTTTTAAGAATAAAATCATGATTTACATTTCATTTATTATTTTCATAAGTCATTATGATCATAAAACCTATGCTTGCATGTCCGTGATTGTTTATGTACAAAAATTACTAGAATAAGATTAAAAGTCATTTAGGGCTCAATTTTACCCTTTTATTCTCACTAACTCTAGAACAATTATTTCAATGCACTAGAAGACCCGTCTCTCTCTCATATCCTTCTTCCAATTCATTCTTTCTTGTGGGATTCATGGCAGATTGTAGGTTGTCATTACCCTTTGAACTACCCAACAAATTTTCAAGAAAAAGAAAGGTCTTTTCGACAAAAGAGATGGCAAAAAGTTTTCTATTTTATCCAATAAAATTTCCAATGACATCATTGCAAAAGATGAAGGTCTAAAGAAGTCCAAACTCCAAAGTTCTTTTCTTTTCTTTTTTAGTGGAGGAAGATAATAAGCTAAAGTCTAAATGCCTGTCCTTTCGCTTAATTTCCACTATTCCTACTAATTTCTGATCCAAACAAATCTACAACAAAAAACAGATTTTCTTTTAAAAAAAGAAAAACCTCCACTTCATTTCATTTTCTCTACTCCCCTCTTCTATTACAATAGTGCTCATTACTCAATATTCCTCCTCTCCCTCCCTCTACCCATTTTTCAATGGTAAAAAGGCAAGAGTCTTTTGTGGTTCTTTTTGTCTTCAACATTAACAGTACAGAAATTGATCCTTTCTTAGTCCCCTGCTTGTTTTTCCCCTCAAGATTTTGGAAGGGGTTGCCCTTTCAAAAATGATCTAAATAGCACAAGGGCCGCTCTTGGCTTGAAAAGTGGTACTTCATGGCCTGCCCCCCTTACCGTCGCAAATGTTAGCCCTTCGTACACCTCTGTCCAGCCTCCAACCTTCACAAAAATCATTTCCCACTTATTAAACATCATTGCAGTATACATTTTAGGCCCTAATTGCCCTTCTACGGGACACTAATTTATATACCCCATGTTAATACATTCAAGGGTTTGTGTTCAAACTCTGTCTCCTATGCAACACAAGTTTGTCATCAATCAAAATTGAGACTAATAAAGAGGGTTAGTCAATTTCTGTGAAAGTGAAGAGGAGTGGCTACTGACCTGCTTTTTAACATACCATGGATACCATGGAACTTTGGTTGTTAATTTGAGTTGTGCAAGAGAGTATCTAGTGGCAGTAACCGGCACAACTGAATCTACATCACCACTGTGATCATTCAAGATGCATACACAAAGAAGAAAATGATTAGGTTCTAAAAATATAGGAGGAAGAAACTGCATTTTTTCATTATATAGCAGATTCGGTACAGAAATCTTGCTAACCTGAAAACCCAAATTCTCAGACCTGCAGCAATCATTTTCCGGTAAATTGGAAGAACAGATACATCAGTGTCATTCCAATTACGATTTAGAACTTCACTGCATCAATGAAATGTAATAGGTCAGAGCAAAAAGACCAACATATCAATTGGTCATCTTTGAATGAAGAGGCCTTGAAAATTAATTTACCCTCACCTGCAAGCAGTCCATTTGTAAGGTACCTTGGTTTTGTTAGCATGTAGTGCCCTCTGCACATCAGCCCTGTTGTAGTAAATCTCTGCATACTTCTCTGTGCATGGATCATACCCTGCTATTTTCCTCAACATCTGCTAATAGGTCGAAGTACAAAATTTCGTGCTTAAAATCAAAATCGACATAGATACAATAATCATCCAATGTAATCATATAATGTCCTATGATGCATACATACAGTCAAATTAAGTACCTTATGGGGTCGATGAGGCAGTCGCATACTCTGGCGAGTAGAAGTGGTACCATCAGACTTATTACAAGGTGGTGCATAGATGTTGTATTGGTCAATGTTCCCAAACTCTTGATCCATCGCATAGGAATACAGTGATTCGCACTCATCGGATTCTTTCTGCCTCCTGAAATCACAAGTGTTCATGAGCTGCCGATATGTTTTGTCAGAGATCATAGCATGACTCCACCAGTATGTCACTGTGCCAAGGTTGTCATAGTAATTGTCTGTTACTGCATTTCCAACCTGCATTTTATTTTGGCTTTAAATTTAGTGAAATGCTGAAACCATACATGAAATTTTGAGTTTCTATGTCTCATTCATATAGAAAAATGCTTTGGATTACATGGTTAATCAGTAATTACCATTATTCCTTTGAGATTTATTGGATTCTTGGACTTTTGGTTGTGGAGCATGATCTGTCTAGCGAACTGAGGAACATAATGCCCTGCATAGCTCTCTCCGGTGATGTAGACTTCTCGGTGCTTGTAACGTGGGAATCGGTCCAGCCATCTGATCAAGAATTCTAGTGAATCCTCAGCTGAATCACAATCATCGAAATCAGATCAGTTTGTACTCAAAAACCTCGTTGTGCTTCCCTAAAGCATCATTCATAACATTTACATTTAGGCTTCAGCAGTCATTAAATTTGGACCAAAGGACTCATCAAAGTGAATATGCAATACATTGTCCATAGCAATTATGTTGTTGGTTAGGAAAAATGGTGTTGCGGGACCCACCGGTTCGACGATCACCAGTATCAAGCAAGTCAGAGGAGCGGTTGCTGTAGGAGAAGCCAACGCCTGCCGGAGTTTCGAGGAACAAGAGGTTGGCCACGGTGTTCCATGAGAACTTGTTGAGGTACAACCCTGAGGCAGTCTTGTTGATTCTAAATGGGCCTATTTCCTCGGATGCTCCATATGCCACAGAAGAGCAACCAGGACCTAGCACAACAAAGTACAACAACACTTAATTAAGAAACTAAATGCCCATTATTCTTGAGAAAGTAAACAGCATTGGGAAATGGCCAAAATCAAACTACCCCGGTTCCGAATTAGTAATGTGCATTCAATATAGGTGAAGATGGTGACCTAGTAAATGTCACTACCTCTATTTGGCTATGACATTTATTATTAGTTACTACAGCCATGACTCCACTCATAAAGAGAGAGAAAATTTCAAAATACTTACCACTTTTTTTTTTGTAATTTTTTTTTCTAATGAAGCCTAATGGGTCATGAGTTTTCCTCCTCATTGGTAGTTAAGTCATTATTTCTAGGTACTTACCAACTGGTAGTGGCATTTTTTAAAGAATTTGAATTTGAAAATTTTTATCAAAATTGTTTTGGATGATTCTGCAGAAAATACAAACGGTGCAGAGTGCAGGCCTCAAAGCTGTTGAAGAAGCTGCAAGGCTATAATAATGACTTTGCAGAAAAGGGTGGCTTTTTAGTACAGAAAAGATAATGGGACTTTTTTTAAATAAAAAAAAAAAAGGGACTAAAACACACACAAGAATGCTAAAGTAATTCTTCTATCATCCCCTTATCATGTCGGCAACAAAGAAAGCCTACTCAAATCAAATGTCACTGTTTATTGATTAACAACATATATAGTCAAAGACCAAAGCATAACCAGCATCTCAAAGAGAAATAACTGAAGGCAATATATATAACAGAACTGTAATGAGGAACATAGTAAGGGAAGGAAATTATGTTTCTGTGTAACAGATAAGGGTGTAAATGAGTTGAGTCGGGTACTTGGGTACTTCAATACTTGAGTCGACTCATTCAGAGCCCCACTAGCAGAGAAAGAGGGAAAGGGGGAAGAGAATTAAGGTTTTACCTCCATTGAGCCAAATGACAAGGGGTTTGGAAAGGGGTTGTTGAGCAGCCTCAGTAAGCCAGTAAAAGAGGGCTCTTCCAGCAACTTTGTTAACTGTGACATAGCCTGAAAACTGTTGAAAAGAGACTTTTGGCTGCCCTGGAAGTGCTAATATTCTGTCAGTCTCTTCTTCTGATCCATGAATACTTCTACTAAAAGTGCTTAACACCATAAACAGAACAAGCATCATGGAAACATCAATCCCTTCCATTTTGGCCATGAGAAGGAGCAGAGGAGGAAGATGAAGACGAAGTTAGATATTCAGTGCTCTGGCTAAGGGCTGTTTTGATCAGAGACGTGGATTAAATAGAGGAGATTTATCGATGTCGCTGCCGATCACTAAAACAAAACTACAATTTGGGCCCCTCCATTGGCCGGTGATACAAATCTGTTGAAAGACATTATTAGCCCTATAAAACCTAATTTTTTATGATCATTCAAGTATTCAACTAAGAACTGCCATTTACTAAAAGTAATAATTAATAATAATAATAATAATAATAAAATCAAGATCCCTTAATATTAAAAAAGATATCAAATAATAATTATATGATAAATTTAATAAAATTATTATCCATATTATATTTTACATATTTAACGGTTATGACTAAATGTCTTTTTTTGATTTTTTTTTCTAATATGATAATAATAGAGTTTTTCTAATTTGTATATTAAGATATATGTTAAAAAGTAATTAATATATATTTTTAATATTAATTAATATTAATAAT